TAGATAGATAGATAGATAGATAGATAGATGATAGATGATAGATGATAGATAGATAGATAGATAGATAGATAGAAAGATAGATAAAAAGAGAAATTAAAAGGTAAAAGTTTTCCACAATTTTTATTAATGGCTAAGCTCTTAATGTTGAAATACATCCTCAATGTCTTAATGTCTAAATATATCCAAGAGGGTAGTTAATCAGAATCATTGCAATTGCGTAATGTATTGCTTATAAGCTGCTACCGTAGGCCTGTGGCTTTATTTCCACTTTCTTAGATATGCAGGAGAAGCAGGAAATCTTCACCTTGCCATGGTAGCAGCTCGGAATTTCTGGAATGCTTGTTTACCTTTCATTGGTTCTTCAGCAGACAGACAGCACCTCAAAGCGCCCACTGAAGTCATTCTCAAGAGCATCATTAAGGCATCAGAGGCCAAAAGTAAGCAGGTAAGAAATAATAGCACTTCCCTACTGGATTCGTGGCTGATTTGATTTCCAACACATCGAAACCCGATGAGGAAAATAGTAATGTATATCTTACATTGTAATGTTAAAAGGTACATAAATAAATATAAATTATAATAATTGATTATTAATAAATAATTGTTTTACATACTAAAATAATGAGTGAATATCTTTAGACAACCTAATGGGAAATTTTGGAAAGGGTTTGAAACCTCCCATGTCTCTCTCTTCTTGATAGTTTCCTGTTTTCTATTGTCCTGGGTTTTTCCCCTCCATTTTTATTCTAGAAGTTTATTCTGTTATACTCACAAAATTGCAATTCAAATGTCAATGACCTCTCTTCCACTACAATCAGCACCTCATTTTGTTTTTAGGAAGTGGGCAATATGTTACACTTGCATCAGTGGCCTACAATAGATTTTCAGAGCATCAGCCCATCAGACGGGCATTTTTATCCAGGTAAGTTTTGATCATTTCATCTTTTAAACATTCTCCCTGCTTATATTTGCTGATGACCTACCTGGATGGATTTTGCAATATTTGAGACATTGTGTTAATGTATTTCAAAGGTGCTGAAGAGGATTTGACCTTAAGAACATTCTTGTATGTGTTACTGTTCCAAGCACATGCTGATAAAAATGACTGGGAGACAGGCCTTAAAGTTTTAGATGAAGCTGTTCAGATTCTTCCTCGCACAAAGCACAGGCTGTAAGTTATTTGGATAGTTTGCAAAATATTTCACTTAATACGCATTGCTATGGCTCTGGTTATCTTAAGCAACATAGCACCATCCAAAATTCTGAAATGCCAGAATTAACCCAGAGACAAACTTTCCACTTAGATGGTTCTCCTTTTCTTCTTCTTTCTCATCTTTTTAAGTCAGAAAACTTGCATATATATGTATGTATATATGTATGTATGTATGTATGTATGTATGTATGTATGTATGTATATATGTTGCATTTGTGCTGATAAATATATAAAGGGAGAGTAGTATAGCCATACCCTAAATAGAGCTTGTGGCTTAGTGGTTAACACATCTGCCTAAGATGTAATACAGCCCAGGTTCGAATCCCAGTAAGGGTATGGCTAGCTGATGAGAGCTAAATAGCTTGAAATAGATCTATACTAGTCTCCCTTTATTTATTTATCAGCACAAATACAACACAAATGTAACAAAGGCAACAGTAAAAATAATGGCTTTCTGTCTGGATGGTCTCCTGGGGTGAGCCGATAGACAGAGCATGGAAGCAGTATGCTTCCTCCCATATTTGGGCATACTAGGGGTTGTGACACAATACATACATACATACATACATACATACATATACATAGATTTTCACGGGTGTAGGTATGCTGGTCTTGTTGTATTCGGGTCTTTTCCCGTGTAAGGTTGAAATTGTCTTGGCAATGTTTCGCCGAGGTCTCACTCGCCATACATACATAGCCCTCTCTGTGGGCACGTTCGCTGTTGCCAGCTTTCTTTTGGTTTCCAGCACACGCATGCACGCTGGCTAATTGGTCTCCACGCATGCCGGAGCACTGAGCAGCTGGGCAGCTGGCCAGTGAGTGCCAGACACCTTATAAGAGCCGAGGTGGCGCAGTGGTTAGGGTGCAGTACTGCAGGCCACTTCAGCTGACTGTTATCTGCAGTTCAGCGGTTCAAATCTCACCGGCTCAAGGTTGACTCAGCCTTCCATCCTTCCGAGGTGGGTGAAATGAGGACCCGGATTGTTGTTGGGGGCAATATGCTGACTCTGTAAACCGCTTAGAGGGGGTTGTAAAGCTCTGTGAAGCGGATCTAACTGCTATTGCTATTGGTCTTTGGGTTTTCGGCGCTCCGACACACGTTTGTGTTCAGGCTTCGGCACTCGATGCTGAAAAGGTTTGCCATCACTGAACTATCCCTTCCCCAATCTTACTTTTTTCTCCCCCTTCCAGTTTTTTTATGCATTATGAAATATACAGTCGATAGATGTTCTAGTAATCGACTTAACCAAAGGAATTCCGATGTCCTTTTCTCAAGCGATGCTTCCAGGACACGATTAACATCGACAAAAGAGAATATTTGGAGCTCTTTTGTTGAAATGAGGGGTGCTCATTGGTGCTCTCTGAACCTGGTTGTTTTCTAGCAGACATTTCATTACCCAAACTAGGTAACATCATCAGTCAGCACCAAGGACTTCTCATATTATTAATAATTGCAGGTATATGGCGAAATACAAAAGAGCTTCACCAATAACTGACCATGAATTGCAACAAGTGGCAGGCAGGAGCCATCTTGCTGACAAGAGTCCTGGGCCTGAGATTTTGCAAGCGGGTTGAGAGCTCGAGGAGAGCCTCAATGCCCGAGTGCATGAATCCGTTAGTGAAAAACAGGTCCTTCTTAACATTTAGCAGCACATTTCTGGTTGCAACTCAAGAGTTTAACTCCAGCAGGAGTTACACAAGCAGGCTTTGGTTTTCTTTTCACTTTCATTCAAGGAACGATACTGATTTGCACAATTTACATAGAGGGAGCTTTGTGGGTCCCTTCACTCCACACATCGTCTTCCTGGAATTCATGTAAACCGTTTTATGGTGCAGAGATGGGTTCTCTTTATTAAAAGTCTATATTGTTAAGAATTTTCTTCTTCGTGACAATTAAATCAGCCAGTGAATATCCACATACAGCAGACAATCTGTGACTGAGTTCGTTTATTCAATAAGTAAAAAGTAACCATTTCTCCATAATTTCTCCTTCCCGTCAAAGCATCATTCAGGCAGTCCTCAACTTATAACAGTTCATTTAGTGACCATTCAAAAACTGACTTAACATTTCTCACACTTATGATTGTTGCAGCAGCCCCGTGGTCATATGATTCACATTTGAATGCTTATTCAACTGATTCATATTTATGACAGTTACAATGTGATCCCCTTTTGCCACCTTCTGACAAGCAGTCAATGGAGAAGCCAGATCCACTTAACAACCGTGTTACTAACTCAACAACTGCAGTGATTCATTTAACAATTAAGGCAGGAAAAATCATAAAATGGGCCAAAATTCACTTAACAACATAAATGTTCGGCTCAATTGTGGTCATAGGTTGAGGACTACCTGTATTTCTCAGTAACATTTCCTGCCTTGAGCAAATGGTGCAGTAAAGTCACAGTATTTAATAGTCTCACACACACACGTATTCATACATACTCATTCCTACTTTATCTCCTTTTTATTCCAATATCTTGAAGTAAGAAATGATCCCCAATTGCATTTCAGCATTTGTAGTTTGACGGCTGCCTAAAGCATTCTACATTGCAATTTTTTCTTCTGGGTTTGTTGTCACAGATATACTTTCCTCAATGTGGATATTCCCTAGTGCTAAAACAAAATTCTACAAATGGATGTATTTGGACGCAGCCTTTGGTAACCTCTGATAACCTCCTTTGAGTATTAAATTAGTTTGTACTCATCCCATTGTTGGAATTGCTCTGGAACTGCTCAGAAAGGCTCTGTGTAATCCTGAATTTCATGTATTAAAATTTCTTATGTACTTATCACACTAAAGTTTGGATATGAATGAAGCTCATTCGTTCATGGAGCTAAATATCCCTGCAATTCAAATAGTGACTTCTGATTTTAAAATATTCTATTAAAAAAAGTTTTGAAATATCACTTTGTCAACTTATTAAAAATCATTCATAAATACTGACTTGATAAAATTTTCCTTCCTAGCCCAATTTTTAAGCACATGGTCATGGTGAAGGCAAGACTAGGACGTAATTATATAATGGAAATTCAGAAATTCCGCGATGAAACTGAAGACTACATGTCAGACATGTGGCATCGTTTGGCATCTGTTTCCTATGATATTGTGGGGCAATTATCTTGCTACCAAAATGCAATTGAAGTTTTACAGGTTCGTACATATCTCCTTTTTAAAAGATGCTCTTAGTTTGCAGTTCTTGATGAAAAATTAATATCTGACAGTGGTAGAAAAACTATAAGCTGTATGTAATTCCTAATTCTTGTTTTGGGTATAGTAAACTAATAGATCTTTCTCCAGAGACTTCCTGTCTTCCTTTTGAGAACCTTAGTAGCCTTCTGTGGTTTCCCACCTAAACATCCAGGCCTAAGAATTAATATGGTTAAGGATTTTCAGTATTTCCTGGCCTTAAATAGCTGTCCTTGACACACTTTTGGAGTACCACATATTAGAGGCATCTGAAATAGAAAGTCCAAGTGGATTATCTAAATTTCAGGTTTGAAATGTTTCTTTCGATATTTATCATGCCATTCATAAATAGTTTCTCCTTCCTCTAAATTCCTAGTACTATCTCTGAATTGAAAAAAATTGTATGTGTCTTCTAGAGATATATCAGAGTTAGGTTTATACCCCTGTTGTTACATAACTTAATCAACTTTTGGTCTTGACAGATGTAAAAAAATGCCTCCCTTTTCCCCAGCGCTTGCTTACAGCAACCAATAATCTGCAAAGGATTAGGCTAGATTAATTCTGTGGTCCCTTCCCAGTCTATAATTCCATGATTCTTTAATATGACGGTAGTCCTCGAGTTGCGACCACAACTGAGCCCAACATTTATGTTGCTAAGTAAAACATTTGTTAAGAGAGTTTTGCCCCATTTTACAACCATTCTTGCTACAGTTGTTAAATGGATCATTGCACTTACCAAGTCAGTAACACAGTTGTTAAGTGAATCTGGTTCCCCCATTGGCTTTGCTTGTCAGAAGTTTGCAAAAACGGATCACGTGATCACTGCCATGTGATCATAAATCTAAACCAATTGCCAAGCATCTGAATTTTGGTCATGTGACCATGGGGATTCTGCGATGGTCCTAAATGTGAAAAATGGTTGTAAGTCGTTTTTTTTCAATGCCATTGTAGCTTTGAACAGTCACTAAATGAACTCTTGTAAGTCAAGGACTACCTGAATATAGATTACCAGTACTTTGTTTTCCTCTGAAAGGGAATGTGCATCAAGAACTGGTCTAAATGTGTGCTCACTGTTTTCATGTAGAAAAAGGAAAGTGAATTAAAGAAAGTGGATAATATCTTAGGAGTTGCAGAATGGCTGTATTGCAAGCAGTTTCCTCTTAGTGAGGCTATTAAGCACCTGGAATGGGCAATAAATATGCTATTGTATCTCAAGCCTCTCCAAAAGAGCCCTGACGAAGAAGGTACGTTTCTCTAGCTATCCTCCAGAAATAGCTGTGTTTATTGTAGCATTGGGAGTGCACTGTGGTATAATATTTTCCCCTTTGACATTAAAAAAGATTGATATTTTTTCCCCTGTGGCTTTCTTACAGGTGATATTTTCCCTCTTCTTCATTTAAACAAAAGATTGTTTTATGCCTGACTATTTCTGCTTTTTTAAATTAAGAGATGAAGGAGATAAAATTAATGGTTGAGACATTTGGGACTACCCGGAACCAGTTACAGATGGACCTTACCAGTTATACAATACCTGTCTATTACATAAAACATCCCAACAATGTGTTTATATTGTTATCTAAAATGTTTTCAATGATACTGACTGATTCTTCATATTTTCATTATAGAATTAAGAAACCAAATGAGTATTGGAGAATTAAGAAGCATAAAACAGCTAGAAGCTTTATTTAGAGCTTATACAATAATGGCAGTCATTTCTGGCCACCATTCAACTTTTTACGAGCAATACTGTTTGATGGCGTATGCTTTCGTGATTCGCATGTGGCAGGTGAGATAAGAAAATGGTGACTAGAAGGCTGCTAAATGCATTGTGCAAATCTATTAGGGTTTGTTTTTTTAAATAAACAATGGCTTGAATTCAAAGCACTTACCTCAATCACATTGATCTTCCAAAAAGAATTGTTGTAGCTTTTAATGAAGATAAATTAGATGCAAGTAATTTCTTGATATACTTGACTGTCAAATCTGTTCCAAAAACTTGTTCAAAAGAAATTCCCACCTGGGTAGAATTATAGAATTTGTTTTTGTAATGCTATTAGTCTGAACAAAAATGTGTCTGATTTTCTGCTGCATGCTGATATTATAACAACATTTAATTGGAATCAAAATTACTTTAATTCTTTGATATTTTTATAAGTGCAATTATATTTGCCACACAAAACTACTTAAACTGAATCAGCAAACTTGTCAACATTAAGGTAACAAATGGCAATGAAGCTTTCAGAATCTCAGTCTTCTAGGGGGGGAAAGTGTAACTTGAGCTGAAATATAGGAAAATAAGTAAATCAGAGCACAAACATAGCAATGTATGTTAGCAGGAAAGTGGTAGATTACTTATTACTTTACAAACCTATTGGCTCATTCCAAACAAGGGAGTAAAAACAGTCATAGTTTACGGACTTCTCTAGCCAGAGAGAATGTATTTTTTGTGGCTCTGCACTTCATAGAAACCAATTTCCCCCCACCATTTTAAGAAAAGATTTTTTTTAAAAAAAAAGTTTACCCTTAAAAATAGTAAAACTTGAGGGATATAAAGTAAATCATACTGTACTTGTTGGCTCAATTAAGTTTTTGAAAAAGAAGTGTGAAAAGATCCTTTTACTTTTCAAAGAATTTTCTTAAGCCAGCTTCTATTATGATAGATGACATGAACTTTTATGCATAGAAACTTTTTCGTACAGAAAGGCAACCTGGAAATCTGTTTTAAAAAGGGCTTTATTCTTGGTGATATTACATTTTATTTTTTTTCCATTACAGAAATGCAGCATTTAATTGAATTAAATATTGTACTTCTTAGATTTTTTTCCTCCCCCTCAAATAAATGTACAGTAATTATTTTTCAGATGTCATTCACAGCAGCAGGATTGTTTTTAAAGGCACAGACCAAAGTTTCCCCAGCCCAATCAGCCACTCCAAAATCAAAAGGCAAAAAGGATGCACTAAAGGTAATGTCCCTCTCCCTCATAAACAGGCCTTGTCTTCAAATCCAAACATTTCCTCCCATCGTGAGTGCTTGTGGGGGTCGGGGACGATGACAATCAAACATATTCCATAATGTCTTCATGCCAATGACCTAGCCAGCAGATTATGGCACAATTTCATAATGGTGTTACAGCTATGGTGACGACATGAAGCATATGGCTTGTTACAAATACTGCCAAGTTCCATAAATGTTATGTTATTAAGTAAGAGTACTGTTAATACTTCTAATCCATGAGTAGAGAATATCTGGATTTCCAGATTTGTTGATCTACCAGCATGTATCAGCATAAATTAGCAGAGGTGATGCTCAGGATTATAAGGGTGATAATATCTAGAGACAAGGTGAGATGCATTCACAGACTCTTACTTATGTAGACTCATCTGTCTAAAATTAAACTGAAGATTGATTGTCGTTTTCCTGCTGTTTTTAAGCCTTTTTTTAATTTGTGGTGCACATTACAATTGTTTTAGAATTCCTGTAATTGTTTTGTTATTATTCATAATATTGTAAGACACCCAGAATAATTTGGCAAAGAGATGGGAGGCATACAAATTTAATAAATAAATAGTGACTCCTTTCCTTCCTCATTATTAGACTGAAGGATAAAACATTATCTCTTTATTATTCCCAAATTTGGAATTTCTATCTGTTGAAGAAAGACAGTAAAGAAAGTCATTTTCACATAGCTAAAATATTACAGTGCTTTTTATTATTATTTCCGCTTGGAAATCCTAAACTAAACCCACGAGAAGAATTGAGATGTATTTTAAGAAAAAAACTTTAGTAGAACTGAATGTATCATTACAGAAATATCGATCACTTTTTCTCTCTCTCTAAAGCCCGATTCTGCTCAGGTTTCGCCTACAAGCCCTCCTAAGAAAGATAAAGAGAAATCCCCCAAAGATGCAAAGAAGGTACGTTTTCTTTAATACAGTATTTTGATTTCATTTATGTTCACAAAAAAGAAACTTCCTTAAACATAAGAGTCCAATTTTCAGGGACCCTCAGCCAGTAGAGAGAAGGTGAAAAGGAAGGGGCCGATTGACGTCTTGCCTGCAAATGTGGAGGAATGGGCTAACTATGAGTGCCCTGATGAGATAAGAGAAGCCTTTAAACAGGACTCAACTGGCTGCACTGTGAACAGAGAAACTATTTTAGCACCTGTGAGTAATATCTTGAAGAGGCCCTAACTGAAATTATCTATTCCTCCCTCTTTTGTACTTCCAGCTGTGTCTTGCTTCTGCCTTCTTTTGTTCATTATTATTATATACTAGCCAATAACCTGTTGTGCCCCGGGTATTTATTTATAGGGGGGGAAATGTCCAGACCAAATATCTAACGTTGGATTTTCCCCCATGTCAGAGGGAGCCTCCTTGTGGAGTACTGTGAAGTCTTTACCATGGCAATTCCACTGTGCTGTACAGTGGACTCCAGTACAGCACAACAGGCTGTATCTTAACAGAAAACACACCCCGAGGGGTGTTAGGGGTCTCTCACCCCCACAGTATTTTTCTCCAGAGAGTAAAACATCCGTGTACAAAGTTTGGTTGAAATTGCTCAAGGCGATCCAGAGTTATGCTGAACACACAAACACACACAGAGAGAACTATTTTTATCTACCTAGATTGAAGCTACATGTAGTTCTCGTACCATTCTTAACAACGCTAATTAGGACTAATAACTACACCGCTAAGTGAAGCATTCACTAAGTGGGAAACCATATGATTATGACTCCTCTCAGACTGAACAGAGCTAAGGAAGCTTTTGCTTGCCTCCTAACTATTCCCATGCTCTTTGGAAAGCTTGAAGGCCTGAATGCTTTTGTGTACACATTGAAAACAATTATGCTGGTAGCCAAGGGGCTGGACGCCAGGCATTCTTTATAAACAGCTTACAGTGTTCACTTGAAATCTCTCCACTTGGGGGGAAGCAATTTCTATAGGCAATGTCTTCTTTGCCTGACTTCTTCTTGTCCCTCCTCATAGAGTAGAAAGATAGAAGAGAAAGCGATTCAGAAGGGTACTGGGAGACATTGGCGTAGAGTACCCGGCTGCCAGCCCTAGGCAGGTAGGGTGATCACATGGCTATTGATGTGTAGAAGAGCAAAGAGTTTGCTTCCTTGCAATCCCTTTCTCTCCAATCAAGCTGCTCAGCAAGGGGGAGAAAAAAAAGAATAAAAACATAGGCACAGGACAACTACTGTCCTTATTAGCGGTCACATGACTGAGGAATGTTGCAACGGTCATAAATAGGTGTAAAGTTATTTTTCAGCATTATGGTAACTTCATATGGCCTCTGAATGAATGGTCAGGAAGCAAGGACTATCTGTATATGGGGTATTTTTTGTTGTAATATCTGTAAGTTAATTCAAAGCGTTGCATGTACGTGTAAGCAGCAAGGATAAGTTTATTTAGTAGCTCCGAGTACAAAATGTTATTATCCCCACATACATTTGTGTAAGGATGCATTCATGTTTAAGAGATTTGCAAACATTTACATACTTAGTTTTACTCTACTGTACAGAAATCTCCCTTCAAGAGGTTTATTTCAGGAGCCTCTTTTTGTTGAAAGAATTAAAAATGTACACAAGCATATAGTGAAATTGTCATTTATCCTTTTAATTTTAGACACGCACCTTATATTACTTGGACCTTTTACTTAGGGAGCTACAGTCCATGTTATGTACTCACATGACTCTGCCGCTACTTCACTTGGCTGAAATCATTGCTCACGATGTTGTTGAAAGCAAAAGTCTGTCAAATCTCTACCGTCTCAGGTTTGTATTCGGTACTTTTTAGTCAATGTGAAACATTTCAGTGTCCTTTCTGGCCACTAATAAATTTATGGGTTTGGTTTTTTTGTATGGTGGGACATCCCAGCTCATGTTTTTCATTGCTCCAAAGCCCTTTAGATGGTATTGCATGTCAATAAAATACTTCTGGTAGCTTAAAGAGACTGGAATTGGAATATCTGCACCCGAAAGTATTTGTTTAGAAACTTTTATGCTGAATGTATACTTGGTATATATATATATTTATTTTGTTTATGACAGTTATTGCTCTGTAGGACCAGAAGCTGTTTCAAAATAGCAATAGCATTAGCACTTAGACTTATAAACTGCTTCCTAGTGCTTTACATCCCACTCTAAGAGGTTTAGAGTTAGCATATTGCCCCCAACAATCTGGGTCCTCATTTTATTGACCTCAGAAGGATATAAGGCTGAGTCAGCCTAGAGCCCGTGATAGCATCCAGCTATCATCTTGATGTTTTCATTAGAAGTATGAATTAGCAGGTCATAGACGACAGTGTTAAATTCTTCCAGAACCTGTCGTTAGGAATCAACCAAACCTTGATTTAAGATTTACAATCTAGCCCTAGGTTTCCTGGAAGGATGGGAGCTACTGATTTCCTTCATTTCGATTTGCTAGTCTAAAACTGGTCTATTTGAACTCTGCTTGCTCCTCTGACAGAACATATTCCTACATTAATTCATCTAGCAGTTTCTAATGCAAACAAAGTGTAATTTGCTGATCGTACTTTGTCAATTGATCGAATGATAATTGATTGGATTAAATCCATCCTGATTTTTTTAAAAAAATAGTTGCAATAATAGATCAGCCGAGTCTTGGGGGATCTGAAAGAAGCACTTCTAGAGAAGTGAATAAGGTCACCCACGTTGGAGCTTTCCAATCAATGTTCATTTTCAGTAGTTCGGTGGAATCATGTATCCCCCAGGTGGCCTTTCCATTCTTCAATTGCGAGATTAATTTAGAAACGCCAAAGGAGGATATTAGTGGCTGGCCATGAATACATTCTTGAGTTAATTCAAAGATCAATATATTAGCTGAGTCATCACCAAAAATAGTTCAATGAATGCTTTTCCCAGAGAGATAGTGGGAGTGTTTCCTCTATAATAGGTAGCTTTTAGGGGTTAGCCACAGGGTAGCCCAGAGGACTCAGCTATAAATTGCCAGAAAGCCACACAGCTTTGTTTTTTTTAATGATTTAAATTAATCACTGCCAACTATGTAATTGTATTTCCTACTTTGTTTTATACACGCACATAGACATAGACATATTTCCCAGGCCTTAATACAATTATATTGGCTTTGATCATGACATAATCAGAATTTGACACAATTAAATCATAAGTTAGATTTTATAATAATCCTACTGTTACTGCTTTTGAGAATGATATGCTATCATCTGATGGATGTTAGCAATTGAGCCCTGATATACGTGTATATCTTCTCATGACTTTCTTATCCACATTCGTTTGACGAATGTTCATTCAGGGATCACTCAGTGCAATGGCACTGAACGAGTGGTATTTATGATGGGTCCTCAAAGTTCTGGCCATAGCACCACCACCACAGTCATGTGATTTTGATCCTGATGCTTAATAACCTTCCCCACACAATAGCAGCCATCACCTGTCTCTGATGCACTCATGCTTCACCAGCCTGCTGGTGAGTCTCCTGGAGCCTGTGATTTCCTGCTGGCTTCCCCATTGACTTTGCTTGTTGGAAACCAGCAGGAAGATGCTGGTTTCAGGGTGTTTTCTGCTTAACAAGCCATGATCCTCACTTAGCAGAGCAACAGGAATGGTGAGGATCGCCATCATAACATTGACTACCTGTCAATGTGATGATGGCAATAAATATTTCTGAACGAGCTGTTAGCCAGCTGATAGTTCCCTTCTTATTCAACAGAGAATGATTGGCACACTTGGAAGTAAATTTTGCCTCTAAATCAGTAAATTGGAAGCCTCACTTAGACAAAAATACCCATAAGCCACTCATGAGGGGGGAGGGCTCCTCTCTTCTTTTTGGGGGATCTTCTGCCTCTCTACTAGGGGAATTTCTATTTGCTGAGTTTCATCTTTCCATAAGCACTTATTCATTCTCAAGTTCTAATGGGTGTGCTCATCTAACTATCTAGAAAATACTAGATTGGGAAGGAGACCCAGAAATGTTCTGTATACATTTAATGGGAGTCATGCATACAGATAGGATGTAATACTTAGTTTAGAATCTTTATTGTGGAGCAAATAATGTTTGAGATTAGGTTCTCCCAAGTAATACATCGGTTTTTATGTATGCCAAATATATTCCTTTGCAAATTATAGTTTGGTCAGGGGTATCAAACTCAAGTTGTCATGGCAGCATCATGGGACGTATTGGGACTTTTTCCCCGTTCACTTAGCTAGGCGTGGATGTGGCCAGGGCGTGACGCATCTGTCCCACGGGCCGGGAGTTTGACAGCCCTGGTCTAAGAATCAAATATTGCCCTTTTGAGAAACGATAAGAGCAACCAGTAGTTGGAAGCGGCTTCTTCCCTATTTCATTGCTTTTTATGTGACAGAAGCATATACAGAAGCTCAACCGTCAGTGGGTGTGGAGTCCTTTGCTGGGAGATGTAAGAGGTCAAAGAGCATTAAAGCATCTGCTTTTCCAGCCACCATTCTTCCACGCTAGTTATAATCACAGCCATCAATGGCTACTTTGGATAAGTTTCATCTGAGTTTTTCAGGCAAGCACAGATCCTTATGTGATTCTGGCTGTATGCACTAATTTTGAAATTATTTTGTGCTGAATAATTTTCCAATTTATTGAAGGTCAAATTATATTGCTCCTTTTAAGCCATGGTTGATAGTTCAGCCTATTACGTTGCTGCTTTAAAATGTGAAGTCTAAGCTAAATACAATTCTAAATGGAGCTAGGAATAATCCATTTTTTTCAATTAGGTTTCACAATTGATGTTCTCTCTGCATCTCCTCCTCCTGCTGTTTAAAAGCACTGCTGGTTGAGGACGTTTTACCCTAAACTTGTTTTTATTGCAAACATCACTTGCTTTTTTATGCGGGTTTGAATCAGATTTTTCTTTGTCGGTATGTATGTCTGTATGCTTGCATCTGAGTTATATAAACGATACCAGTGTTAAAAGATGTCTCATTTGCTTTCACAGGCTTGCCAAAATATGTTTAGATTTAAAAATGTATCAAGCAGCATCTTTCCATGAAAAGGCAGTGGGTGACATCTTTATTAATGAAAAGGAGCAAGGAAGGTATGTAACAAACTGCATAATTAAGGGACAGCTTTGTATTCATAACAAATTAGTATATGTTCCAGTCTAAAGTGGCCTATATGGAGTACTTGGAGCATTCATAAGTACCTTTCCAAAATTTGTTAAACTCACATCCTATCTCTTTCATGCAGTCCCATGATTGATTGCAGTAATATGTTTCATAAATATATAGGTTACTATGCTGGCATAACAAAGTTAGCAATAGCAATAGCAGTTAGACATATACCGCTTCATAGGGCTTTCAGCCCCCTCTAAGCGGTTTAGAGAGTCAGCATATCGCCCCCAACAATCCAGGTCCTCATTTCGCCCACCTCGGAAGGATGGAGGCTGAGTCAACCTTGAGCCGGTGAGATTTGAACAGCCGAACTACAGATCACAGTCAGCTGAAGTGGCCTGCAGTACTGTCCCCTAACCACTGCGCCACCTCGGCTCTAGTTGAAGGGGATACCATACTTGATACTAGGCTAATATGACAGGGTGTCTATGTTAACCAATTACATTAATATTTTCTTTCCCTGTTTCAGATTTAGACAAGAGATTGCATTTAAAAATGAGAATGCCATACAGGATAACCAAATGGAAAATAAAAATTTGGATTGGACAGAACTAGATATGGAGCAAAGAAAGAAGCTATTTAATGCAAAAGATAAGGTAACCCCTTCTCCTCATGTATATATATATGCATGAAAGTTGCAAGGCAACTCAACTCATTTTTCTGCCTGAAAACGTTTGTATTGCTCTCCTAATAAAAAAGGCAAACTGTAAAATTAACTGTATACTGTATTATGTACCATGATTGAGCTTTTAAGTATCTATCATTTTAACATAATTAATGTTAACTGATAATTAATTATTTAAAATGTAGTTATTTAAAAAAGAATAATTTCTATAATAAATTATTTCCAGATTTTGGAAGTCA